AACTGTAGTACTGAAAAATAAATTTTGAGTGTCATACCAAAAAATTACCCTTCAATGGTATCTCTTATTTTAACCTCACAGTTAAGGTTTATTTGTACTGCGTGACGTAGGGTCCATAGCATGCGAGAACCTCAACAAAGACTCGTGTGCCTTTGCTGTTTCGTCTTCCGGAAAGCGTTGCGTGCTTGAGAAGCATGTTCGTCGGAGCGGCGAGGAAGTTTACACTTGCCGATCATCAGAGATCGAGGCGGATAGGATCAAGGACTGGATTGAGACTGATCAGTGCATTGAAGCCTGTGGAGTTGATAGAAAAGCGCTCGGAATCTCCTCCGACTCTCTTCTTGAGTCTCGCTTTGCTCAAAAGCTTTGCTCGTCTAAGTGCTATGATAGCTGCCCAAACATTGTTGATCTCTACTTCAACCTTGCCGCCGGTGAAGGTATCATGCAAATACATGTGGAATAACGCTGATTTATGTGCATATTCTTTCTCATTTATGTCTAGCTTGGGTATGCTAAAATTTGATTCGATTGTGATTAGTTGAGCTGGATCGTTGAGCTCACATGCATCCTTGCCCACACTCGGTTCGGCAAAATTTGGAAAATTTTATTTTTAGTTTATCGGTCAATAGTATTTAGGCCAGCTTATGTACAGTTCAATTAATTTCCTCTCAATCTAATTAAATGTAGATCATGCATGTCAAAATTAAGGTAGGTATAAAGATAAATCTTTCGTGACTTGGTCCAAAAGAATTATCAAGATCCAAACTCAAGACGTCTGTAATTCCAGCTCATCTCGGCTGTAACTTGAGTTATCCCTCGTGGAATTTACCGACCTAGAGCTTAAGAAAGAATATTTCACTTTATTTATGTGTGAAAATTTTCAAAATTTGAACAAAATTACGAGTTATAATAAAATCGAGTTCAAACTGCTAAGATAGTCTATCCACTTTAGCATCTATCATGAAAGATAATTATGTGAGTTCCTTGACAGGTGTGTATCTTCCAAAATTATGCCAAGCAAACGGAGAAAACGAACGTCGTGGAATGTCCGAAATCAAAAGCTCTGGATACGTCGCACCTGGACCCGAATCAATGAAGCCAGTGAAGTTCACGGCTGCCCCAGCAATGGCTCCTTATTGAAATATTTCACAAATTCTATACCTTTAAGTCGGTTCAATAGAAGTTTTAGCAGCCGGGCTTGCGAGCACAGCTTCACTATGCTATGTGCCAATGAGTCAGTGTGGGCTGGGTCTATCACAAATATACTATGAATATAATATCATAAAAAGTAGTGTGTGATAACCAAATAGATTTTACTAAGTTTTTTATGGATTGTAATAAGGTTTTTTAGCAGCAAGTAAGCCTGATCGTATAAGTTTATTTGCTTGTAACGGGTTTTGGAGAGTAAATAAAAGTCAGATTTGCTTAATTTTTTGTCTAGTTTGTTTGATTAATAATGATAGCAATCAATGCTTTATGGGCCGTGACTTCAATCTCGAAACACCGATTTTTTGGCAAAGGCGGAAGCCTGTCGGAAGAAAAGCTAATCCGGTCTTTAGGCTCAGCCACTCCGGTCATGTGGGCTTACGGGCCCATGTCTCTATGGGGATGACTATAGGGCCAGCCATGACCTTGTCTAGCAAAAATTTTGCTCGGGCCAAGCCTGTTGGTAGAGAAGATGACCCAATCTTTATTTTTCAAGTTCGGTCATTCGGGTAAAGTTACTCGACCCGAGTGACTCAAGTGAGCTTCTGGCCCCTGGTTACCCTATTTTAAAATTAAGATGAACCATTCATTAAAGTCTCTTCAATCATTACCTAAATTCTTACTCAAATTTAAATTGGAGTATAAACACACTATAAAGAACCTCAAGTCCTTTACTAAAAACAATGTGAGAGGGTCGTTTTCCTAGTTCTAGGATTTCCATTGAAGATGGAGTTGATGCAACAATAGGATTTTCTGATTTTTCCTTTAGAAATAGGATAAAAGTTAAGCAGTCAATCAAAAATTAAAAAATATGTGATTTGAAAGCAAGACCCAATGCCAGGTTTGAATTCAAATCTGAAGAAAGAATCAAAACCCTACGGTCTAATGAGTCTTGAATTGCATATACCTAACACTAATAGGAAGTAAAAGGTATGTTTGAAGCTGAGGAAGAAAAAGAAGATTCATGAAAAAGAGCTTAGACAAGTCAAAACGTAAAGTAAAATAGTGAAAGTAAAACTGATGATGGGGCCTTCATGCATTTATATAGTGTCCGGAAAGAGAACAATTGCACTTATTCAGTTTCTCGCATAAAATTCATTTATTCAGGTTACCAACTAACCCAAATAAACAAGGGAATATTGTTTAGACCAAATTCTACATTTTTTGTACATAGACGATGAAACACCTATCCAATAAATAAGTCAACTAACGAGAATTATCACGTGACATTCATTAAATCAAAACTGAATATAAAGTGAGTTAATGTAATTTGCTCAAATTCAAGAGCAGTTAAAATTCTTATAATGGAAGTATTGAATCGGCTATCTAGAATTTGAAAATTAACAGTTAAAATAAGGGAAAAACTATAGGAGAATTGCTTGAAAAAAGTAGTGTAATCGGTAATGGGAAGGTGCCTATAAAAAAAGGTGTTAATTGCAAGATAATGGCATGATCAGACCCATAAAAAAAACCATTACTTAGGCATTTTAGGAGAAGTTTAGGCGAATTAGGATTAGTTTCAAAGATTGTTTCTTCAATATGTTGTATCCCAGAAAACCTTCAAGATTAGTAGAACTGTCTTTCCTTTTGTTAATTATTTTTATTGTCATTCTACTTGCTTTAAATTTGTTGATTGTAATCAACCAAAGAAATCTTGAAACAATACAATTGAACTCAACATCAAACAATTACCTGAGATCTACCTTTAAAATGATGGAGTCCATCGATTGTAAGAGAAACCCATTATGGAGACCAACATAAATATAATTACAAAATTGTTGATGCAAAAAAATTGTTACCCTAAGGTCCACATATTTGTATGTAATTGCCGCACAAAGAAATAAATTAGAGGTCCCCAACCACATTATCGTGGGGATTTTTTTGATGTTTTAGTTAATATTTTGTTTGCATTTTAGAGAATCTAGAGTTTATCACTTTGTTGTATAGCTTACCTTTGTGGACTCTCTTAATGGCACATTCTTAACATTTATTAAAAAAGAATTTTTTTGATTTCATAAGTCATTCTAAACGCAATTTAATTTTTCTTCCGACCCACAAAAATTAATCCCTCCAAAATCGGAAAAAAATAGATAAAAAATTAATTATTTGTGTTGAAATGTATCTTATTTGTCTAAATATTATGTATACATTAATTTCATATAAACATATAATGATAAAATATATATATATGTTTAAAAAAATAAAAAAAAATTAATATTTTAAATTTTAAAAAAAAAATTTATCTTAACTAGGAATGAAAATTTTTGACTCAACACAATGACACGACTCGAACTCGACACGAATTTTATGATAACTCGACACGAACTTGAAAATGACTTGATACGAGAACAAAAAATATAAAAGACTCATAATTTTATGATTCAACACGAATTTGACACGACACGACTCAATTATCATCTCTAATATTAGACAAAAAAAATTATAAAAAAATAGATTATTTTTATTTTTCATCCATCCAACTAAACACACAAGAAAAAAAATGTATCATTTTTACTTTTTATTTTTAAAAAATAAAAAATATATCATTCATATTTTGTATCATTAATTAATAGAAAGTGTATTCATTGTATTTTTCATTTTCCGTAACCAACGGAGCAATCAAAATTTCCCACACACGAGGAACTATCACAGTCAGGTCGTTATTGTACCAATTTTTTTTTGACTTCTGCATGACTAAACAAAACAAAGCTCAATTCTCATTCAAACACCACGGCCAAGAAATTCAAAAGCAACACGAGTAACAGAATTTGTGGTTACTTTTCAAGCGCGAATTCTTTTCCTCCAAACCAAATTATATGAAAAGTCTCGGGTTTGTTTGATTTGTATCTCAAAAAATTATATTCAAAAATTTTTTTAAAAAAAATTTTAAAAAAATATTTTTGAAAATTTTTAAATTACAAAACTTGTTTGGTTATATATTTTTGAAAATAGTTTTAAAGAACAAAAAATTATAAAATCTATTTGAACAATAATTATAAACCCCCTCAATTCTCATCTCTATTTTTTTTTCCCCTCTCTCTGTCTTCACAAAATCCACACACAGAAGCACACACAAACATAAACACATACACACACAGACCTGTGTTTTGAACCTAGGTACATACACATATCTGACCACTTCGGCCCAGATTTGGGTCTTCAACCCAAATGCAGAAAAAAAAAAAAAAAAGACACTGGAAAAGGAAGGAGAAGATGTCTGGATTTGCTGAAGTGGAGAGAGAACCCAGATCGTTTGTGTTTCCTCTAGATTTGTTGAAGTGGAGAGAGAACCCAGATCGTTTGTGTTTTGTTGCGTCAGTCTTCCTTGCACAGAGAGAGAGAGAGAGGAGCTGGATGCTAGAGAAGAAGACAATGAAGAAAGAAAGGGGGAAAAAAAAGAAGAAAAAAAAAAATTTCTGCTAAGGGAACGCGAAAAGACAAACCTCATTAAAACCTCAAAATTGTTTTCCTTGTTTTTAAATTTGTCAGAAAAATTTTTAAAAATAAGTTAAACTTATTTTCTGTTTTTTTAACTCAAATCTCATTTTTTCTCAAAATTTTAAAAATGAAAATGTTAAACAAACAAGTTTTAAATATTTTTAAAATTTTGGGAACAAAAACATATTTCTGTATCGCAAACCAAATATAGCCCTCGTTTTCAAAAACAAGTGGAGTGCTCCATTAACCCGCCATTAATTGCGGAGTCGTCCACAACTAAGTTTTCTCCTCTGAAAGTGGAGGTCAATGAAACGTTTTAAAAAACCCGTCCTTTGAGTGTTTTTTGTGGACCCACCATGGCGTCTCAGAAGTCTCGAAGTACGGTTTGGGATACGTTGTTTTCACACCCGGTCCCATTAATGGTGTCTTTCTACAGTGTACCTTATAACATGTATAAATATGGCTTCCTCCAATGTGAATCTTCACATCACTAGTTCTATAACCAAAAAACAAAAAACTTTGGGCCAGTTTGTCTTTCTCTCTCTTAAGTCTCAAACCACCCATTATATTCATGGCTTCTTATCAGAGCTTGAGCACTTTGGCCATTCTTGCTCTTGGGCTTGCCTTGTGCATACAAGGAACTCTAGGTAAGTGAAAAATAAACTCCAATGAGTTCGAATGTACACACACATACACATTCTATCAACCAAAACCACAGTCCATGCATATGCTGATTTTACATATCAATTGATTCATTACCTCGCTTTTCTGTGCCTACCTCTTTTTTTCCTTTTAGAATTCGCTACCTTTTTAATTCATAGATATAAAACTAGATTTTTTTTTGCGAGGTTTTATGGTTCTTATTAGGTCAAAAATCATAATACAATTATTACAATTCTCATACTAATTCTCATCCTTTTTTGTTTAGGAGTCACTTATAGAATAATATATTCGAAGAAAAAAAAAATCTCACTTATTATTGTTATTTCTCACCCAAACAGGTCCATGTTATTGACCACAACATGACTGCTATTATGGTAGCAAAAGACTACTTTTCTATTGCATGCCTTTTTTTTTTTTTTTTATTTCACGAGGAATTGACACATCTAAACACTCTTTATTTTAGTATTTCATAGTTTATGTGATCAATAGTTATAAATTACTTAAACTAAGATTTATAAAGAGATAGTTTTTCGCAGTATTATCTAAAAAACTTTTCTTTTTTTCTTGTAACAGTGTTAAGTGATATATATATTAGGCACTAAGTCACTAACACCATTCCACAAATATTATTGCAAAACCATTTAAGGATAAAACTATACTATCCAAAAATAAATTTTGAGTGTCATACCAAAAAACTACCCTTCAATATGGTGTATCTTATTTTAGCCTCGTAGCTAAGGTTTATTTGTACTGCGTGACGTAGGATCCATAGCATGCGAAAACCTCAACAAAGACTCGTGTGCCTTTGCTGTATCGTCTTCTGGAAAGCGTTGCGTGCTTGAGAAGCATGTTCGTCGGACAGGCGAGGAAGTTTATACTTGCCGATCATCGGAGATCGAGGCGGATAGGCTGAAGGACTGGATTGAGACCGATCAATGCATTGAAGCTTGTGGATTGGATCGGACAGCGCTCGGAATCTCCTCCGACTCTCTTCTTGAGTCTCGCTTCGTTCAAAAGCTTTGCTCTTCTAAGTGCTATGATAGCTGCCCAAACATTGTCGATCTCTACTTCAACCTTGCCGCCGGTGAAGGTATTATGCTAATACATGTGGAATAATTTTGATTTATGTACATATTCCTTTTCAGTTATGTCTAGCTTAGTTATACTAAAATTTGATTCGATTGTGACTAGTTGAGCTCGATTTTTTTGTTCACATCCTTGCCCAAAATCGCCTCAGCAAAACTTGCCGGCTTTACCAATCTATAGCTTGAGAAAGAATCTTAACTTAATTTCTATGCAACAAATTTCAAAATTTGAACAAAATTAGATGAGTTATAACCAAATCAAGCTCAAACTCTTCAAGTCGTCTAACTACGCTAGTTACTTGTGTGAATATGATTACCATTTTTAGCATCATTATCAAGAAATATAATTATGTGAATACCTTGGCAGGTGTGTATCTTCCCAAATTATGCCAAGCACAAGGAGAAATCGAACGTCGTGGAATGTCCGAGATCAAAAGCTCTGGATATGTCGCACCTGGACCCGAATCAGGACCGACGAAGCCAGTGAAGTTCACGATTGCTCCAGCAATGGCTCCTTATAGAATTTAAGCAACACTGTAGCTTTTAGTCGGATCAGTAAAAGTTTTAGAACAATGTTACATGAACTTAAAAAATAAATTTAATATTTACTTTTTAAGTTTACGTAGCATTATTCAAAATTTTAGCAGCCGGGCTTGAGCACAGCTTCATTTTGCCATGTGCCAATGAGTCAGTGTGGGCTGGGTCGTCTATTACATTATAATAATTTAGAAAGTAGTGTGTGATCACCAAATAAATCCAATAAGGTGATGTTCTTCTAAAGTCAATAGTGTAAGTGTTTTATTTATTGAACCAAGTTTTTTGGCAGTTAGTAAGCATGATCGAATAAGTATACTTGCTTGTAACGGGTTTTGGAGATTAAATAAAAGTCAGATTACTTCTGCTACTTAATTTTCTGTCAAGTTTGTATGATTAATAGTGATAGCAACGCATGCTTTGAGGGCCGTGACTTCAAGCTCGAAACGCCGAGTTTTTGGCAAAGGCGAAAGACTGTTGGAAGAAAAGTTAATCTGATTTTTAGACTTGGCCACTCGGATCACGTGGACTGACGGGCCCATGCCTCTACGGCGACACATATAGGGCTAGCCAAGAAAACTGTCTAGCAAAATTTTTGTTCGGGCCAAGCCTATTGGTAGAGAAGTTGACCCAGTCTTTATTTTTGAGGTCACAGTGACTTGAGTGGGCTTTTGGGCCCTTACCCTATTTTGAACGTAAGACGTAAAATCTCTTCGATCATTATCCAAACCCTTACTCAAATTTAAATTTGAGTATAAACAAATTAAAAACAGCCTCCAAACCTCTATTAAAAATAACCTCAGAGAGTTGTTTCTCTGATCCCAAGATTTCCATTAAAGATGGAGTTAATGCAACATTAGGATTTTTCTTTTAGAAACAAGATAAAAATCAGATAACCCTTAGAAAATGTGTCGATTGAAAGTAGGATCACATATACCTAACACTAACGGGAAAATGGGGAGTAAAAAGTATGTTTGAAGCAGAGGAAGAAGAGCACCGTTGGTTCAACCTTTGTTTGGGCGCCATTGAAATGTTCGAAAGGTACTGATGAGAAATAAGAACTCCAAACAGCCAAAACGTAAAAGAAAAGTATGAAAGTAAAATTAATGGTGCTGCCTTCATGCGTTTATATAGTGTCCAAAAAGAGAACAGTTGCCCTTATTGAGTTTTACCTATAAAATTCACTTATTCAAGTTTTTAATTAACCCAAATAAATGAGGAGGATATTATTTGAGCCAAATTCTACATTTTTTTTGTGAACAAGCGATAAATGGCACCTGTCCAATGAACAAGTCAACTAAGGAGAATGGTCACGTGGCATTCATTTCATCAAAAATGAATATATACCGAGTCGATGTGGTCTGTCCAAATTCAAGAGCAGTTAAAACCCTTAAAATGGATGGAATGAAGCTGTTATTTAGAATTTAAAAAAAAAAAAAGCACTTGTCAATACTTCTAGTAATTTGAGAAGTAACAGTTAAAACAAGATATAAATTTGAGGAGAACTATTTGAAGAAACCAGTGTAACCGTCATTGGGAAGGTGCCTATAAAAGAGGTTTTAATTGCAAGAAAATGGGACGATCTAACCCATCAAAGACCCATGACTTTGCCATTTAGGAGTAGTTTTAGGTTAGTTTCAAAATTATGATTAGTTTCAAAGACTGTTTCATCGGTCTATTTTATCCCAAAAAACCTTCGAGATTAATTAAAGTATCTTTCCTTTTGTTAATCATTTTTATTGTCATTATGTTTATTTTAAATTTGGCGATTGCAATCATCCATGAAAATTCTGAGATAAGATAACTGAACTCAACATTATTTAGTTGCTGAGATCTCTCTGTAAAGGAATTGAGCCCATGGATGGCATGAGAAACCCATTATGGAGACCAACAGAAATATAATTACAAACTATTGATGAGAAAAAATTGTCCCCCTCGGGCCCACATATTCTTTAGTAATTGCCAGATAAAGAAATAAATTAGAGGTCCCCAACCACAGATTATGGGGGGGATTTTCTATGTTTGAGTTAATATTTTATTTGCATTTTACAGAATCTATATAAATGTAAAACTCTTGAAACATAACCTGGAACAATGTGATCCAAATCACTTAGAATTACTATCCAAGGGTTGTTCTTATAATTTTTATATTTACCACCGTAAAAATTTAATCACTCATTTATATTTAAAGCACAACAAATATTGACAGTTGATGATACACAAAGCAAACTTATACATAGATGTATAGTGATTCGGTCAGAGTGACTTACTCCACTTTAAAGACGGTAACGGTGGTCGGTGGTCTTTATTGATGAAGTAGTAGGTGAAAGAGAAAGAGAGAGAGAGAGAGAGCAAGGGTATATGCTCTTGGTAGCTATAAGAGATATAGTTGTGCAAGGTGTGTAGCGAGATACCCCTATCATATGGAGAAGACATAAAATTTATAGGCACAAAATCTTGATTGAATCGATGACATGAGGGTAAAAGTACTAGTTTTTCGGGGAGGATAACCACAGCTAAGAATACATACAATTAAAGATGGTCTTGATCTTTGAGAGTAACTATCCTGACTTTTGCTCTTCACGTGCTCTAATCTTTCTGGACTTTTTGATTTTTAGACTAGGCCGAATTCATGAATTGAATTTGACCCACTTTGTACTTGAATCGAGCTTAGTTAATTGGTTGCGCCCGACCCAATCGGTCATGGGCTCGTCAATAGTTAACAACGTTTACCCAAATAATGTTGTATGAAGAGTAGTGGACACATTCATATGACTAAATCTAGAGTTTATCACTTTGTATATATGGAGAAAATATTCAATGCAATGGTGATACTATGCCGATATAGTATCATCAATCAATAATAAAACATTAAGTGCGTTAGGTAAATCCCATTTGAGTAGTTACTGGTTTTACATCGAGGAAGATTGGGTAGTTATTTATTTACATGAAGCATTGTCATGTGATATTGCCATTATAATGAATATTTTTTTCTCATGGATTGGCACAATCTTAACATTGGGAGTTTTTAGTGTCTAACGTTCATATTTGAAATTCAATTACACCTAAAATTTTAAACCTATAGTGAGTTTATTCATAGTATATTTAATCTCTTTCATTTATTTTTCTATTCGATGTGAATTTTTCTCACATGTAATTCCTAATAATATTATTTTTGTAAGTGATTATATCAAGCTTAGCCCCCTCCAAGTCTAATCCACCCCTCTTTATAAACACACGACTCGTTTGGTAGATGTATTATAAGAGGATTAAATATTAGATTGAACTATTTTTTATTTAATCAGGTCTAATACTTTGTTTGGTAAGTAAATTTGATACCGTATTAATTTCAAAAATGTATATTGATCGTATACTTATCATATATTTTTTATACGATAGCTCTGTATTATGGAGATTTTTTAATACCACCAAGAGAGGTGGTATTATAATTCAACTCAAACGTATTATTCTACACATTTACTATTATAACCCCTTAATTGATAAAATTAAGTTATTATTAATGTAACAAACACTGATTGAGGATATTTTTGTTAATTCAAAGTTAATACGATAAAATAATTCTCTAACCAAACAACCGTTTGGATTAAATAACTACTATCCAACACTTATATTGTGTATTATCAAACACTTGATAAAATTACGTATTATTCTAATACCCTATTTAATCTTGTCTTTTGTCCTTTCGTATTGTATCAGACTATATTATTATATCTAATTCATCAATTTTTAATACAACAACCAAACAAGTCCACCGTATCCAAATCACTATCCGGAAGAGCCCACTGCAATCAAAACCTCTTTTATAGGCTACTTGCCCAACCAAATTCTACGAAAGTCTCGTTGCCACGTCAACAATGCTACATATGTCACATTTGTGTACCATCCTAAAATTATTCAAATATTCAATGATTGTGTCGCATATAAGTGGAATGGTACACAAAGGTGGTGTGCAAAGCATTATTCTTTTCACAAAAATGTGGAATGCTCCATTAATCCGCCATTAATGGCGGAGTCTTCAACAGCTAACTTTTCTCCTCTGAAAGTGGAGGCCAATAAAAACGTTTTCAAAGAACCAGTCCTCTGAGGTTTTTGTGGACCCCCCATGGCTTCTCAGAAATCTAAAAGTAGCGTTACGTTGTTTTCACACCCGGTCCCATTGCTGGTGTGTTTTTATTTTATACAGTGTACCTTATAACATGTATAAATGGGTCTTCCTCCTCAGTGAGTCTTCACAGCACTAGTTCTATAACCAAAAAACAAAAAAAGTTTGAGCCAACTTGTCTTTCTCTCTCTTAAGTCTCAAACCGCCCATTATCTTCATGGCCTCTTATCAGAGCTTGAGCACTTTGGCCATTCTTGCTCTAGGGCTTGCCTTCTGCATACAAGAAACTCTAGGTGAGTGAAAAATAAACTCCAATGAGTTTGCATACACAATCTATCTACCAAAGCCACAGTCCATGCATTTACTGATTTTGCATATCAATTGATTCATTGCCTCACTTTTTATGTGCCTACCTATTTTTTTTTTTCTAAAAATCGCTATCTTCTTAATTTATAGATATAAAATTAGTTTCTTAATTTTATCATCACAAATTGCCTCATTCTTGATTTGAAATATCAAACCTTACCCTCCAATTGCCATGTTTGATGTTTCTTATTAGGTCAAAAACCCGAATACAATTATTACAATTAGCTTAGTCAACTCATAAAACACTATATTTGAAAAAAAATAATCTCACCGATTATTGTTATTTCTCACCCAAACTGGCCCATGTTATTAACCAAAACATGAGTCACATTATGGTAGCAAAAATTTATTTTTCGATTTCATGCTTTCAGTTTTTATTTAATGAGAAATTGACACAATTTGAAAACTTTTTGTTTTATTATGTCATAGTTTATGTGATCTTTTTTTTTGTGAAAAAAGGAGGGGACAGAGACAACCAGTAAGTTATAATCAACACTCTGTATGTGTGACTATGAAAGCTCCCCACTATGAAATGTCCGATTTGAATTATAACTACTAACCTAAAAATATAATTTGTCACCACACAACAACATCAAATCCAAGTATCAAACTGTGTTACTCTCGTGAATCAAACCCTATTTGATAATCACATGAAAGTCAAAGACAACGCTAAATAGATATAGCTTACCATTAGTGACCACCAGCTCGGGTGGTCATAGTTTATGTGATCAGTAGTTCAAACAAAGATTTTNATAGATATAGCTTACCATTAGTGACCACCAGCTCGGGTGGTCATAGTTTCTGTGATCAGTAGTTCAAACTAAGATTTATAAAGAGAATTTTTGGTAGTACAATCTAAAAAACTTGTCTTTTTTTTTCTTTTACCACGGTGTTAAGTGATATGTGCATTAGGCACTAACACCGTTCCACAAATTTTATTACCACGCCATTAACCTAACAGTCAAGGTTTATTTGTACTGCGTGATGTGGGATCCATAGCATGCGAGAACCTCAACAAAGACTCGTGTGCCTTTGCGGTATCATCTTCTGGAAAGCGTTGCGTGCTTGAGAAACATGTTCGTCGGAGCGGCGAGGAAGTTTACACCTGCCGATCATCGGAGATCGAGGCTGATAGCCTCAAGGACTGGATTGAGACCGATCAGTGCATTGCAGCCTGTGGACTGGATCGGAAAGCGCTCGGAATCTCCTCCGACTCTCTTCTTGAGTCTCACTTCGCTCAAAAGCTTTGCTCTTCTAAATGCTATGATAGCTGCCCCAACATTGTCGATCTCTACTTCAACCTTGCCGCCGGTGAAGGTATTATGCAGATACATGTGGAATAATGTTGATTTATGTAAATATTCTTTCTTATTTATGTCTAGCTTGGGTATGCTAAAATTTAATTCGATTGTGGCAAGTTGAGCTCGATTGTTGAGTTCACATTTTTGCTCAAACTCGGCTTAGAAAGACTTGTGGCACCTCAATTAATTCTCTATCCGATCTGGTCTTGAATACACTAATCTTGATTTATCTCATGTTCTAATTCCAAAAGGTTGTCAAGATTCGTATTCAAAATGTCTAAGTTAACAGTTCATCTATGTTATAACTTGAGTTATCCCTCGTGGGTTTTATCGAACTAAAACTTGAGAAAGAATATTTCACTTAATTTCTGTGCAAATAACTTCAAAATTTGAACAAAATTACATGAGTTATAACCAAATCGGACTCAAACTGATCAGATCGTCTATCCACTTTAGCATCATCATGAAAGATAATTATGTGAGTTTCTTGGCAGGTGTGTATCTTCCCAAATTATGCGAAGCAAAAGGAGAAATCGAACGTCGTGGATTGTCCGAGATCAAAAGCTCTGGATACATAGCATCTGGACCCGAATCAATGAAGCCAGTGAAGTTCATGGTTGCCCCAGCAATGCCTCCTTATTGAAATATTTCACAAATACTCTATTTAGTCGGTTCAGTAGAAGTTTTAGCAGCCGGGCTTGAGCACAGCATCACTATGCTATGTGCCAATGAGTCAGTGTGGGCTGGGTCTATAACAATTGTACTACAAATATAATATCATAAAAAGTAGTGTGTGATGACCAAAATAGATCCAATAAGGTGATGTTCAAAGTTAACAATGTTAGTGTTTTATAAATGCAAAATGCTATTTGGACTTTATTTAACGACTTTATTTAAAGATCTAATGATATATAACCATTACATTGGTTGTGAACTTCATCTAATATTGGAACTCACAATTAATTTAATGGTTACATTAAAGTCACATCATTATGTTCCTGAATAAAGTATCCAAATAAGGTCTCTATAGCATTGTTATTTATAGATTGTACCAAGTGTTTTAGTAGCTAGTAAGGATGATCGTATAAGTATACTTGTTTGTAATGGGTTCTGGAGATTAAATAAAAGTCATATTACTTCTACTGCTCACTTTTTTGTCAAGTTTTTTTATTTTTTTTTGAGGATTAGTAGTGATAGCAATAAATGTTTTTACCACTCTTCTTTGTGTTCTTTTCGACGTTGTGGTAATTATTTTTATTATTTTTTTTAGTAACAAAAAAATACCACTTTTGTATGTGATTTACAACATTTGTAAGCATTTGTATTATTGTTGTGGTAACGATTCATACTACTTTTTTCGGTATCACAATAGTGATAAAAATATTTATAACGGTGATAAAAATATTCACAAATATAATAAATAGAGGTATAGTAACAATTCATTGGGTCGACAAACTAGTAAGCAACCATTCTCTATTTGGTTATAAGCACAGCTCAACCCAACTTTTTTTTTTATAGTTCACTGAATTAATACACCAATTGAATATTGAATGTGTAACCCTAACATTTTTCAATGTAATATAACTTTTTTTTGGGAGGGAGGGGAAGTTGAACCCTTAATCTCAAGAAGATAGAGATTTTATAAGATAAGGAGTACCATTAAACCAAACTTAGGTAAATCTTTTATTTTCATTTGCATCCTCCCGTGCTCAAGAAAGATCACTCAGAAAGGTCACTCCCTACGCAATATCGTAGCCCAAGTCAAAATAGATAATTATGTAGTTCTAAGTATTGACAGGTGCTCCGAATATACGTGAAATCATCGTATTAAATGATATCAAGCCCCTAAATGTGCACGCTTTTTGCATCTCAATACCCAAACTTGCAAGTATTTAGGAGTGGCAATCGTCATGTCGGGTGGTGTTCGTTTTAAACACTAATTAATTTTAGGTCCACTCATTCAATTAATTGTATAGTATTGTGTCGATTTATTTATTTTTATATTGTGCTCATGTTAATTCATATAACTCCTCAATAAAATAAAATAAAATAAAAGATTAATTACAAAATACCCCTTTTAAGTATAGGTCATGTTGCAATTGGCTCCCTTTGGTTTTTAATTTAAACAATGTGCCCCTCCAAGTTTTTATTGAACCAAATTAACTGATGGAGGGAGTGGATGAAAAATATAAAAGTCCAAAAATACCCTTCCAATCACAATCTCTCTCTCTCTCTCTCTCACACACACACACTAAGAACTAGCAGCATCTCCATATATCCACCTTTTTGGCTAGAGTCATCGCCCCCACCCTCACCTCTGCCACCACCATAGCCTTCACCAAACACATACTACCAACACTTCAACTGTAACTTTAAATGGAAATCAACTTTATTAAAAACAACATTTTCAAAAAATTTAAAAAAAATCCAGTCACAAATTCATTTAATCTCAACACCAGATTGATGCACCACAAATCAACCTAGCCCCTCATGGCCACGGACATTTACCATCGCCATCACCCCCGAAACTCAATCGTCGTTGTAGTCACTGCTTACCGAACAAACATGACCAGACACCAAAAAATAAAAATAAAAATATAAAATGAGAAGAAAGAGAATAAGGTCATTGTAAGATCCAACCACTACCCAGACCCATCACCATATATAGGTAGTGCCACAACCACCAACAAAGTTTTATAATTCGACTCCATTATTTTGGAACCCAACCATGAGCAGAGACACCAAAAATCCATTCTAATTCCATTAAACAACACCACTTAGAGTTGCGTACTAACTACGATTCAACCAAGATCGGTGGACGAGAATGGTGGTATTGGGTGATGGTCGGAGAAGGTTACCACAAATGGGAGTAGTGGGGCTACTTGTCAGTGTAGACGGATGGATTTCTTTTGCTTGCCGAAGGGTTGCTCTTTTATTGGGTTGGTGGGTTTGTTATTCATAGCAAAGGTGTGTGTTGGGCTACTGAAGAGTGGTTTTTGCTATGCACAGAAAGGGGTGGGTGGGGTTTTCCTTTGCTGAAGGGTTTGGAGGTGGGTGAGAGAGCTGAGAGCTGAGAGCNGCAAAGGTGTGTGTTGGGCTACTGAAGAGTGGTTTTTGCTATGCACAGAAAGGGGTGGGTGGGGTTTTCCTTTGCTGAAGGGTTTGGAGGTGGGTGTGAGAGCTGAGAGTTTTTTATTTTTTTCGAACAAAGTGAGATTAGAGGGTAATTTTGTCTTTTAGTTGCAACTTCTGTCAATTTTTTGACAGCTGAGTTAACGGCAAGGGACAATTGAGATAATATTCAAACTTGGGGGGGCACATTGTTTAAATTAAAACCAAAGGGAATTAATTGCAACAAGACCCAAACTTGAAAGAGTTATTTTACAATTAACCCTAAAAAATTTACCCCTCAATTTTATGTCTAAAATTTTATTATTACTTAATCGAATCTATGCGAATACTTTTTCTATAAACTAAAAGCTAACTTAATAAATATAATAATAAAAATGAGTGAATTTTTTTTTTTTTGTACAATAATTAAGTTTCTACTTGATAAAATATCTCTATCCATTTATTTATTTGATCGAGTCAACTTAAAATTGAATTCATTTTGTTCTATTCTAAGAATTCAAATAAAGTTTTGTACCTATCTAGTAAGAATGGAATATTTGTAGAACTCTCTATTGATATATTATGCTCTTTTTTCCATTCATTCTCTTTCAATTTCAGTCATAGTCTTCTAAACGATACCGATTGTATGGACGAATCCATCCCTTCATCAAAATGTGTAAAAGATCCTAATCGCACTTAAAAGCCGGGTACTCTACAGTAAAAAAAAATATTTATTTTTATAATATTATTTAAATACATTAATCGTATCAATTTCATATTATTTGTATTTAACATTAATCTAATCTATTTATTATTCGTATTAACAAATTATGTCATATACGAGTTCGTGTCTATTTTAAATAATGTTTTCGTAACCCCGCTGATAAAGGATGTTGATTGAATTCGGGAATGCTCATTAATGTGGTAGAGCGTTAGGTTTGGAAGATTAGTTCGTTCAGTACAACTATCCAAACGTTGCCTGACTTGTGGTCCAAAATTTTTCTGATTGAGAAATTATCCGCTTGAATGAATCTACCAATTTTACTCCAAGGAAGCTACAGTTCAAGCCTAACACACCTGATTTTTTAACAATATTATCTTTGATTGTACTTGGGCGATATATGCCTGATTTGGTTGTACGACGAATCATAAATCTTAAATCTCAATTACTTGAACCAATTATATTCAAATTCTTTTGGGGNGTATATACATACACACAAACAGAGAGAAGGAAACTCCTGTCTAGCTGCGACAATTGCCAGTAACTCCCCACTACTCAATGGTCACCCCAACACCATTTCCCATCAGCGTCCACCACCCACAACCACCAACCCCACTTTAAATCATCAATCTTCTCTATCTCTCTCCCTCAGGCCATCTTTGTGTACGTGTATATACATACACACAAACAGAGAGAAGGAAACTCCTGTCTAGCTGCGACAATTGCCAGTAACTCCCCACTACTCAATGGTCACCCCAACACCATTTCCCATCAGCGTCCACCACCCACAACCACCAACCCCACTTTAAATCATCAATCTTCTCTATCTCTCTCCCTCAGGCCATCTTTGTGTACGTGTATATACATACACACAAACAGAGAGAAGGAAACTCCTGTCTAGCTGCGACAATTGCCAGTAACTCCCCACTACTCAATGGTCACCCCAACACCATTTCCCATCAGCGTCCACCACCCACAACCACCAACCCCACTTTAAATCATCAATCTTCTCTATCTCTCTCCCTCAGGCCATCTTTGTGTACGTGTATATACATACACACAAACAGAGAGAAGGAAACTCCTGTCTAGCTGCGACAATTGCCAGTAACTCCCCACTACTCAATGGTCACCCCAACACCATTTCCCATCAGCGTCCACCACCCACAACCACCAACCCCACTTTAAATCATCAATCTTCTCTATCTCTCTCCCTCAGGCCATCTTTGTGTACGTGTATATACATACACACAAACAGAGAGAAGGAAACTCCTGTCTAGCTGCGACAATTGCCAGTAACTCCCCACTACTCAATGGTCACCCCAACACCATTTCCCATCAGCGTCCACCACCCACAACCACCAACCCCACTTTAAATCATCAATCTTCTCTATCTCTCTCCCTCAGGCCATCTTTGTGTACGTGTATATACATACACACAAACAGAGAGAAGGAAACTCCTGTCTAGCTGCGACAATTGCCAGTAACTCCCCACTACTCAATGGTCACCCCAACACCATTTCCCATCAGCGTCCACCACCCACAACCACCAACCCCACTTTAAATCATCAATCTTCTCTATCTCTCTCCCTCAGGCCATCTTTGTGTACGTGTATATACATACACACAAACAGAGAGAAGGAAACTCCTGTCTAGCTGCGACAATTGCCAGTAACTCCCCACTACTCAATGGTCACCCCAACACCATTTCCCATCAGCGTCCACCACCCACAACCACCAACCCCACTTTAAATCATCAATCTTCTCTATCTCTCTCCCTCAGGCCATCTTTGTGTACGTGTATATACATACACACAAACAGAGAGAAGGAAACTCCTGTCTAGCTGCGACAATTGCCAATAACTCCCCACTACTCAATGGTCACCCCAACACCATTTCCCATCAGCGTCCACCACCCACAACCACCAACCCCACTTTCCCACCATGGTCCACCAACCCCACTTTCCCACCGTTGTCCACCACCCACACCACAACAAAGCCATCACCGCCAAAATCCAAAAAACTCAAAACCCGAACCCACCTCCTCAAGGCACATCCAAACAATTCAAAATCGAAAACTTGTCTCAATCACCCACCACTTTTAGCCATAAGCAACGCACAAAGAGAAAGAGAGATTTCTTTCAATATTCCAAATCTGAATTTTTCATGGTCAAAATGGAGCAGAGAGAATTTTCAAATCTCAGTTCTTCATAGTCGAAGCCCGAAGGGGGCTCTATACTTTCCATCAGCCACACACACAAAGACAGAGAGTCTCAGGTAATGGGGGGAGGAGAAGGGTTTGTTTCTGGGTTGTAGACTCACGGTGCTTGGTGAATTTCACTGGAAGGCGAGTT